ATCCATTAGTCTCATAATATGACGACAAATAGAACATGTGAAACTCTAATCATAGGGACAAATCAGGATCTGGTTAATATTTATATGAAGAAGCTAAAAGGTCCATATAAACATTTTTCTTCAGATGAGTATATCTCAACATAGAAAACAAATCTCGTGACTGCAGATCACCATTCGATAGCTCAACGTTGCCTCTATCATCAATAAAAATTCCATGTCAAACGATTTTAGATTGCTTGATTTATGAAGTAATTTTCACGTGAGAATTGATGAGAATAATCGATGAATGATATATTTTTGTAACTAATTTTAACCATTTGACTAGTCTCAAGATTATTACAGCGGATTGAAGTAGGGTTTGGGTGTTATAATGTCGTGAAAATCATGACAGGCAGGAAATTTTAACAGTTGTTATTCTTTTTCTAATAGACATGCATACGAAGACACTTTTTCTCCGACAAAGTATCAGTGAAATTCGATGGTTTCAGCATCTTCTTTTTGGTCGCTGTCAGAATGACAAACGAAAAGATTTTTTAACGAATTTATAGTTCTTCTCGCCCTCAAAAACAATGACAAACTCTGGTGCCCATCGGGAGATTCAGTTGACTCTCTCTGGGTTTGTGGTTATTTTACTACATAGTATGTGTCTATGCTCTCAACAATAGATCTTTATCCGGTCAAAGTTTTAAATCGTTCTCCCAGAAGAGAAAATCTAGATTAAACATTGAATTAGAGTTTTGGATCAACTATAATAAAATGAATACTATGATGTTTCTTATCCTTGTTAAAACAAAAACAGTTCGCGAAAACTAGAAGAAACGATACTGTTTGTATAGAATTTTTCTGTTAGAGTTTTGAGAACAAGTATAATTTAAATTTTTCTAACTACAAAAATGTGTTTAATATTTGTTTAAACTTTGTTCTTAACAGTGTGGATAATTGGTCTTTTGCTCAATCGTTCTTTTTTGCGGTTACGGTTATAACTACTATTGGGTAAGAATATTTTTTCTTTTTTTTTTTTTAATATTTATTATAGGTTTCTTGTTTTTGAATAGATATGGTCATGTAAGCCCTATGTCAGGTAAATATAATTTTTGAAATTTAAATTTTCGTATTATTTTATATAGATACCGGTCGAATAATCTGTATAATATATGCTATTATTGGTGTTCCAATGACATTATTATTACTCACAATAATTGTTCGAAAACTTCTCATTCTTCTTAATAATACTTATTTATGGTTTCGTCGTAAATTTTCATCTAATCAACGATCTGAATCGAAAATTCGTTTTATACATTTATTAATAATTTTCATATTTTCACTTATTTTTCTATTTATTATTCCGTCAATTATATTTGCACATATCGAAGAAAATTGGACATTCATTGATGCCTTTTACTTCTGTTTTATTTCATTAACAACAATTGGTCTTGGAGATTTTGTTGCTGGAGATTCACCAACACAACGTAATAGACTTTTCTATAAAATATGTTTAACAAGTAAATGATGATCATTGAATTTTTTATGTTTTTTTATAATTTCCTTGTTTTTCATTCAGTTTATCTATTAGTTGGTGTGACAATTATGATGTTAATTGTTGCAATGGTTTCACAAATTCCTGAACTTCATTTAATACAATATTTTCTAAGTGAAAAAGAAGTTGAAAATGAACATGAACGTTTATCAACATCAGAAGCATCTGGTTTACTTTGGTTACCACATTCATCTACTAGTCATTCTTATGGTGTTCGAAATTCACCAGCTAATCAACCATATCGTCGACAAATAAACGAAACAGAAAATACAATAAATCTTACTTCTGACAATACAAAAAATTAACAAGGACAATGAATGATATTTACTTTTTTTTAAAGAGATTAATGACATAATGGTGCTAATAATTTGTGTATTATCAATTGAATGACAATTTCTTGCTTTTTTGTATCGTTAACTCTATTTTAAAAATTTTTGTATAATCTTATTTTTCTTTCTACTTAGTGCTTTACTAGCTTATGAATCGAATGTTATTTAAGAAAAAAAAAGTTGATATATGCTTATAAATAATCAAGTAGCACATATGTTTCTTTTATTCCTTGGATATATATATATATATATGGCATTAATTTTTATTAAAGACAAAGATATGTAAATGAATATTTAGACAAAAATTATTCTTTATGATATCTGTAGGTGAGCAAAAAAAAGGTTTTTTTTTTATCATTTATTTTCAAATAGAAGAATGCTCCGGAGAAAAAAAAACTAACTAAAATTAATATTTATTAAGGACAGAACGAATCCATAACTAGATCTAATGATCTATAAAGACCGCTTGTCCAAAAGACGAGTATTAATTGAAATGTTTTAAACAGTTTTTCCCATGTTGAAATAGTGTCCATTTATTGAATATTAGCTGATCATTTACTGAGAAGATTATTATGTTAGAAATAAGACTAGCGTATGACTCAGCCATGATATTGTCATAGAAGAATCGGAAATATTTACAGTAAGACCATGTGCACAGTCATTAAGAGTCGAAGAATTTCTTTAAATTAAATCACTAATGCGCTCATCACTAGATAGGAGATTGTATTCAACATACTCGACGTAAGATTTTGTAAGAGACCACTCAAAACACTAATATGAACTTGAACTTCAACTGTTACTTGTTGATTAACAACAGAAACACTTGAATGAAGTGCTATCAATACATAAAAAAACAAAACCTATAATTGATAACAATTTCATCTTATGTAACAACACGAGATATATATATATATATAGACAAGCGGCTTCAGAACTCTAAAAGTTTTAATCGACATGTTCACACCTTAATAAGAACGAAAACATAAAAGTTAAAGTTTGCCTTCAGCAAGGTTTTTGCGGAGTACCTGTAAAAAATGCAGACACTTGTGGTTACTTTGATTTTTAATTATACAAGGTATTTTAAAAATAGATCTTAAGGTAACTATTGTTATCATTAATAATTAAATTCAAGGTAACCACGGATGTCCTTATGATATTCGTTTCAAATTCTATCTATTTTTGTAGCCTTGGCGATGTTCACAGCTTTTACAGATAGCTTTTTCCGTGATATTTCCACATGTGAATATTCTCACAATTATTATTCATATGATATCATAGAATATATGACATAGATCGATGATTATTTTCGATTCTTATCCAATGTCATCAAGTATGAGATGATTTTCAACTGTAATAGTTTGTACTGCTAAAGTTTAAATAATAAAAATAAAAAAAAAACGAAAATCAACTATTTTATTGTATATTAGTAATGTCAATGCATCACAATTGAAATATATTGTTTTAAACAAATAATCTTCGTCTTATTGATAATGGTACGAAGATTTATTATTGGACGTTAATATTTGTCAATTTGATTGGTCGTATGACTGATCCTACAGGTGACGAAAATTCTCACACTTTACTCCGCATCTGATTCTTACAATCACTTTATGTAGAGCTTAGCTCGTCCAAAATAAATTGAAAAGAAAAACAGATTATGCATTTATTAAACATGATCAATAAAATGAAATAAACATTATTGTAGTACTCAATTATAAGACAGAATATACGGTTTTTAATGGAATTATAACGAATTATATTTTATATTCATAGGAAGATACTAATGTTTTCCAGAAACAGGATGAAGCTGAGTTTGAGATTACCTTAGTCTATTTTTGTTATGTAGCAAAGTATCGGATAGTTGAACAAATATTGAACACGATGAATCAGAATTATCCGGAAAAGATACAACAAATTCTTCTTCGGATGATTTATTTCATTGTGAAATTCTTAAATCGTGTGATAACGCTGTTTTTATTTTTAATAGTAACAAGAAAGACAAGCAGCATGTTATGCTAGAGGGATATAAAATTCCCTTAATAATATACAAAATTTTAGTGTATCTTGTTAAATTTTTCCTCATTTAGAATGTAAGTAATAACGATAAATAATTCAATCATTGTAAACTGAAATAAATGTTGATTATAAATATAACAAATTCAATAAGAGCAACAATGATCAATTTCATTTCATAGTATTCATTTATTAATTGAATTTATCAAATAATTTTTTGTAATAAAATAGAGCGAACTTAGATATATGATTCAAAAGAAAATTTAGCAGAATTTCTCAGCCCATCGGGATCGGAAGGTTTTTGCTAAAATTGATAGGATTGTGCGTAGGAGATTGAGCGCTTCTTCGAGAATTGGTGAGCATAAAAAAGAAAACGAATAAAATGCTGGAAGTTTGCCGAGAAAAAACGAAAATTTCTCGAAATTGGACGAGAGTGATGCCTACGCTTTAGAAATACTCCCGAGTATAGATAAATAAATAAGTTATTCATTGATATTATAATGCACTGAAGACGACCAACTGAAATCACGATATCATAATCTCGGTTTTTTATTATGTTGTAGATTGATAAATTCACTATTACTTTTTATGATTAAATTATCTCATTTTCTTATTGGTTATTTTATTTTTTTATTATTTGGCGCTTTAATATTCTATGAATTAAATACTGTTGAAGAGAAAAAACGACATATATATGTAAATAATCAAATTAAACAATTTATAAATCGAAATAACAAATGTTTGAAAGGTAATTAAGGATTAATAAATAAAATTTTTCGAAATTTTTGTTCCTTTCAGAACATGATTTATATTCTTATGTTGATTATTTTTTGGATAAATCTCATACTGGTTTATGGCATTCATCTTTATCAAAAGCAAATGTAACTAAATGGACATTCGGACAAGGTTTATTCTTTGTGACATCTCTAATAACAAGTGTTGGTAAGATAAGATTTATCTAGTTTTCAATGTTTATTTCGAATAAAAGATTGACTTCAAACATAGAAAAAACTAAATTTTTAAAAAAATGAAGGGAATCAATAGCTGGACCTAATAATCCACTAATATCGTTTGTCAAAAAGACGACTATTGATTCAAGCATAGTCAGGACTTAGCTAGATTCATTGAGCATTGTTACCAATAGCACGTTTACCAACACCTAATGGATTTGTTTGAATTAAGTTGGTGAGGGCATTGGTAGCTGTAGTGAAAGTATTAGTAACTAAACCACTGAAGAGTTGTTGAAGAATGTTGTCATAAAGAAAATCAGCAATACTGATGCGTGCTGCTAAATCGCTTTCAGCATCCCGTTTACCAACACCTAATGGGTTTGTTTGAATTAAGTTGGTGAGGGCATTGGTAGCTGTAGTGAAAGTATTAGTAACTAAACCACTGAAGAGTTGTTGAAGGATGTTGTCATAAAGAAAATCAGCAATACTGATGCGTGCTGCTAAATCGCTTTCAGCATCTCGTTTACCAACACCTAATGGATTTGTTTGAATTAAATTGGTGAGGGCATTGGTAGCTGTAGTGAAAGTATTAGTAACTAAACCACTGAAGAGTTGTTGAAGGATGTTGTCATAGAGAAAATCAGCAATACTGATGCGTGCTGCTAAATCGCTTTCAGCATCCCGTTTACCAACACCTAATGGATTTTCAGTAATGATTTGATTAACTAAACCTGATACTGAACCAAGAGTTGTTTGGACAAGGTTCGAAAGAAAACCAGCTAAGAAATCATTATAAAAGTCAATACGAGATTGATCAATTTCTCGTTTGCCAACACCTAATGGATTTTCACCAATGATTTGGTTAACTAAACCTGATACTGAGCCTAGAGTTGTTTGGACAAGATTCGAAAGAAAACCAGCTAAGAAATCATTATAGAAGTCAATACGAGTTTGAAGTTCTGCTTGTTGATTAGCAACAGGAGCACTTGAGCATTGAGCAATAAGGGCAAAAACAGCGATGGCAATGATTGAAACTGATTTCATGTTGAAAGTGTCAAATAAAAGCTGGAGAAAAAGGCACTTAAGTGAATGTGTAAATCTCACTTTTTATACAATATGGATATGATGGATCACGCCAGATATCAGCTGGTCTTATTCTCATGAATACTAATGGTACGATATTATGAGGGCGTGAAAAACTGATGTTAACAAAAGAATAACAGTCTTTCATGACATAGAAAAAAAAGATTAAATTCAAACACAGATATTGAAATATTGCAAACACTAACATAAAAGAAAACAGATGTTGTAGGCAAGCAAGAAAATATAGAAGTTTTTCTTGAGATTTGGTCAGAAAGAGTAAAGTTTAGTTTATTCATATGGAAATATTTTTGCACAGATAATGCTATTTTCAAATCTTGCTTATTATGGAAACCTGTGTATGTACCTAAACAGTGAAAACTGAATGGTTTTATCGGAAAAAGTTCACGATCAGTCAAATTTTAAAATTGTTCTTTCGGCAAAATCATCAACTAATAGATTTTTTAATAGGCACTAGCTAGGACTTCATCCGAACTGATACCTACCGTTTGAGCCCATATAGAACCTACAAGGACATCTTAGTGAGACTAGCAAAATTTTAAAATGGTTCGTATCCATGGATTTCTAAAGCCGAGTTAGAATCGTTTTACTGAATTTTCAAGTCAACTTTAGGTACATACCGAAAAAAGAAAAAGCATAATTTTGGCTTCAAATTTTGTCCGTAGTTAGGTGTAATGATCCATATGATGTTCTTAATGTTTCAATCGAAAAGAATTTTTTTGTCATGATATTGAATTTTCAAATAAAGACGATGCTTGTATCATACCTGTGGCAAGTGATTATTATTTTTTTGTTTTGGAAATTCGATATTTCGACAAAAGATCTTTGTTTTTGGTTCAAACTTAGAGGATATTCTATGGGTCAGACGACCCATATACCAGCAAATTTCACGTCGAAATTCTGTTTTTTTTTTTACATTTCGGTATTCATCTAAAACTGAGTTGAAAATTCAGTAAGACTATTTTAACTAGACTTCAAAGAAAAATAGGAACGAGCCCTTGTAGACTTTTCTAGTCTTATCGAGACATTCTTGTAGACCCAATATGAGCTTAAACAATGAATAGCAGTTCGGCTAGTTTCCTCGTAGATGAAATTCGAGGGGAACGCAGTGGACTTCAAGACTTTATGAGATCTCAGGCCTGAATTCATCGTTGTTTTTTCTCTCGGTGAAGTTTGAACTTAGTTTTTTTCTTGTCTAATGTGAATTTTTCTTTGATCAGGTTATGGTACGCCGAATTTAATAACATCCTATGGAAAAATTCTTTGTATGATCTATACAGGAATAGGTTTAATCTTTGCATTATTATTTCAACAAATACTACATCGTCAATTAGTACCAATTTTTTATCAAATCATTTCTCGTCTTGCAAATAACCGGCATATTATTTATTATGTCACAAGATATCGTAGTTTTTTTGTTTCATTTCTATTAATTACATTTTTAATAACACTCTGTTTTATTATAATTCCAACATTATTTATACATTATATGTATGTTCCAAAATGGTCTCTTATTGAATTAACTTATTTTGCTGTTACTACAAATCATCTTATTGGTTTTGGCGATCTTATGCCTTGTAGTGATTTATATGGAGAAAGTCGATCTACATGTACAATAATATTAACAAGTATAATTAGCATTTCCTTCTATTTTTTTGTTTCTTCTATGCTCTCATATTTATTTGTTTTATTTATTTTTAGTTTATGTGATCATTCAAGTACTTGTGGGTAGTATTCTTAGTCATATGTGGTTTATATTACCCAGAAAAAGTCATCAATTTTTACATCAACGACGACATCATTCCGATCCTAACGTTAATATGAATAATAATAAAAAATTCTCTATAGATATAAACGATGAATTATTAGCAAATGTTTTTACATGAGTGTTAATTGTTAAATAGAAATATATATATATATATATTGTTGTTGTTGTCTGTATATTATTCAATAATATACATTGTTTCAATATAACGAGCAAGATCAGGTCGATTTAATTCTTTTGATAACACTAGAGAATGAAGTTCAGCCACAGTTGGTGGAGGTGAAGCATAATTACACCAGGCAGATATAACTCGTCCTGCTGGATATTGAAGATTTTGTGATAACCAATGATCAATTTCAGATTCATCTATTCCAATAAGTCGTGCTAATTCTACCCATTCTGGTGAATCACTTGATGAAGTACTTTTTAGTTGTTGTCGTCGATGATGTTGACGAGAATTTGAATCACTATTATTATTACCATAAGCTGAACCTATAATAAAAATATTTAAAAAATAAAATAATGTCATTAAATAACATACTCATTCTTGAAAGTGGTCTTTCATTATGACCAGTTTTACTAAGTTCTTTTATAATTAACATACGTAAATTTGAATCCATTTTATTCACTAATACTTCATTGGCTAATGGAAGACGATATTTTGATGGTAAATTATATTTTATTTGTGATGATATATCATATTGCTGAGATGGAAAAGATGATGATGATGATACTGAATAATAATCACTATCGATATATTTTTCTTCTAGTGAATTTTGATTTGATATAGTTACAAATGACGAATTAATAAATGTTGATGAAGAAAGAGTTTCTTCATTATTTTGTTCATTTGATATTATTGTTGATGGTAATTTTCTTTCTTGATTAATATATGTTTCATCATCATCATTATATATATTAACTTCATCAGCAAATGAAACATTTCGTTTAGCTGATGATGTTTGATGACTACGACGTTCATTTGTACTATTACGATTTGATGAATGAGATTTTGTTGGTATTTCATCATTTGATAATATATGTGTACTATTAGTAATTTCTTGTTGTTTTTGTGGTTGATCAAGATCAAAAAAAGCATGTTGATCACGTAAACCACTGAGTACATCATCAAGTGTTTTTTTCGCACGCAATTTTTGAGCATCATTAACTGTATTAAAAAAACAAAGATTTGTTTTTTTTTCTTTTTCTTATTTCTTTCTTTTTTTTTCTCCTCTATTGATTAATTATTAAACATATAAACTTACTTGATCGTACACGAGGTGAAGAAAATATAAGAGAAACATCTTCTAAATTTAATCGATGATGTTGAAGCATATCCTCAGTTTTAACATTTGCTTTCTTAAATACTTCCATTTCTATTTGATCAACTTAAAGAAAAGAACAATATTTGATTATGATATAATCATTCTTGTTAATCTCTCTTTTTCTTTTAAATTTCATACCTATGGTAGCATACATTATTTGTAATAATTGAGCATTTTCTTTCCACATATCACGTTCACGTGTAACAAATGTTAAACGTTGATCTGGTGTAAGACGTTTACGAAACATCTCAGGTTCATCAATTGATAATTGTGTTATTTTATTTTGTACAGAAATTTTTTCATTATCATCAGTTTCTTGAAAGAGATTTAAGAAAGCGATACGATAATAACATATTTGATCAATCATAGATAATAAAAGATTAACAGATATATCAGATGGTTGTTGTTTTGTTAAATCAATTTCATTTTGATAATCATCCATATTAACATTTTCCATTATTTTCGAGCAGATAAGATTTAATTTCGAACGAATTTCTTCTCGTTCACGTATTAATCCTTCGATCTCTTCTTGATGAGGATCATTTAAACCAGTTTTAGATTTTTTCTTGCCTTTTTTACCTGGTGGTGAACTACTTTTTTTTCCACCTTTCTTTCCAGCAGAAATAGGGCGCACCGGCATATATATCAATATACTTATATAAAAAAAAATATATATATAAATTAGATTTTTCGTTCGTTCTTTTTGATCTCAACATTTATTAGTTCAACTAAACGGAAAATATATTTTTCTTTAGTATTTGTATGTGTTTATGCACATACAATATCGATCAAAATAGTAAAATAGAATCAAATAAATGATATCATTGATGAAATAAATGAAGAATCAAACAAAATTCTCACCTCTTACAAATATTAATAACAAGAACGATGACAACTTAAAAATAAAGTGCAGTGTTTGACAAGTTTTTTTTTCATTTTAAGATGAATACAAAATGAAAAAGAAAGAGTAAAAAAAACTTCATTATATTATATGGAATGTCGATGTTTTGTGTACTTGAACTGTGTGTGTCTTACTCTCATGGTCAACATTTTCATTGTAATGACAGCAAGTCAAAATACAGTGAAGAACAAAAAGAAGAAGAAAAAAAGAAAAAACGAAACATTTAACAAATTAAATTCAACTAGCAACAGAAGTTACATCAACAAAAAAATCAAACATTATTGGACAACAATATGTGTTGTTTTCGTTATGTGATATGCATTAAAAAAGTTTATCGACTATTCTGAAATCTTTGTTTTCAATAGATTATTAAAAAAGAAAACTTGAGATTTCTTTTTCTGAAAAGTCATTAAAAGATGTGTTATCAAAAGTCAAACACTCATTTTTGTCTCAGTGTGAGGTATGCGCACTCCAAGAGAATCACATATGCTTACAGTTAAAAACATATCAATCATTACTTCAGAATTCAAATAATGGTGATGAAAATTGTATTTTCTTATAGTGATTGTTATCTATCATTCTATCACAATACCACTTACAAAAAATTGTGAATAAAGATAATGAAATTTATCAAACAAAAAGTTTTATCAGTATCCACCATTGAATAAATAATAGAATAGTCTTGACTTCGAAGAAAAAAAAAAGACTGTTAGAACTGAACACAAATGTTGTCATCAATTTCTGTTAAATTTTGAACTCCGTCTCCTACATCACTACAAATACACGAAAGTTCATGGATGCTCATCACTTGAGTTATTGGGGTTCATTGTAGTAATGTTCTAATAAAAAATGAGATCGATTCAATGCGAAGCAGTTTTAGAATTAACTCATCTTAGTTTGAGAAAAAAGTTTATTAGTTGCATTCTGTATGTAAAACAATATCAACATTGGGTGGAAATTTGCATCCTCAAGAAAAAGGCTATATTTCTATCATCTTATGAGGGAACCATCCCAAGTAATATCTGCTGTTTGAGATGATTGTAAGTCTTAATGAGAACAGAAAAAATAGTCATTTGCCACAGACATGTCACAAAAATTGCGTTTACTTGATAATTCAATGAAGGAATATTCTAAGAGTCATAAAACTTATCTGTAGGCAAAATTTTGGATCGAAGTTCTGCCATTGGATATTTTGGAAACTACCTATAAATGAATTGAAAATCTTGCCTATGGTTCCAGTATGAGCGCAAGCAGTAGGTGTCAGTTGGGGTAGTTTCCTCGTTGGAGAAAAGCATCTTTTTCAAAGAAAGTAGAAAAGCCTAAGGAATGAATCATACAGATTCTGATAGTAGAACTCTTGCTCTATCATTTTAGGAAAAAAATTTCGTTCTAACATTTTCCCTATTGAAAAAAGTGAACATTCTTTCTTTGCTAAAGATTTCATGAAAAGACATGTTCAGTGTAATGGATGCGAACACTAACATAGCTCCAAACTAGACAAAATTTTCACAGAATGCTTTTTTTGTTTCTCGCATTTCTATTCAAGAAGGAAGAATACCCAGACCTTTCGGCTACCTTGTGGTATGAAGTGTTGCCTAGCAGTACGTTCAATAACCTGATGTCTTCCTTACAACTGATATTAGTCGTAGCTCGAGATAGATGGCTAGTTTGATGCAGAGTGCCTGAGCTAATCGTACATATCAATAAACTACAAAAGTCTGTGTAGGTTGCAACGTAATCAACATGCTATTGGACAGGTGATCCGAGACAAACAGCCATTAGTGGTTGGTCCAGTGTCATTTCGTAACCGATAGTGCTGAGATTTGAATTAAGTGTCTCGTAGATGTGTGTCGAACTACATCGTCGCTTAGCCATGACAGCCTTTGCATCTGTTCAGTAAATGTAAAGATGCGTTAATCATTCTGGATTCAGTTAAAGATTATCTAGTTTTCAAAGCTTTTCTTAAACAAAAATGATAATATATTCGGAATCAGTACAAAAAGCCCACACTCTATTGTGAACGTGACATGCACTCTAATTTTTGATCTTATTCCATTTCAACAGCTATACAAGCTTTTCATATAGGACGATTGTTCAAATTTTTAAGATAAGAGTTATTGGTATAAAGTTCTTGCTAATATGGAAAACTAATTTTTTATATCATATTTATTTGCCTTTGAGAGGAGATATTTATTAGTCGGTTTGATTTTGAAAGAACACCAATAACAATCCTATATTGCCATGTAATAAACAAATAGCTTCTTTTTATAACCTATTTGCATAAAAGGATCCATTGATTTATTTTTTTAAATTTACGGTAGCTATAAAAGGATACAATAGAATCTATACCATCGAACAATCTTACCTTGATTAATATTTCAATAATTCAGTATTATGAATTTTCGATCTTTGTTTCTATTTCTTATAAAACTAATTGGAAACATTCAACTTTATAAAAGAATGTGCATCGAATCACAATCACAATGCGTGCAAATAAATAATAGAACCATCCATTTTAACCATTGACTTAATTCCATTAACTCATTCTTTCAATATGTGTTTCTTTTCTTTTTTGTCTTATTTTCACATAGATTTGAATTTTTTTTCAAATATTCAACTATTTCTTAACTTAAATTTACTATGTCCTCAATATAACAAATGTGAAGTTTCATTAAAAAGAATGTGTAGGCTGTTTATTTTAAAAAAAGAAATAGGACAAGAAATACGAAACAAATCGTAACGCCCAACCTTTTATTCTATTATTTAATAAAGTAACTATACTATACCGTATTCATTAACTACAAAAATAAACTTCCATTGATGAGTATTGAACACTATTGGAAGAAGATTAAAATTAGAGATGAGCTTTTAAGTTAAAAACATACTTAAAAAGTTTCAAACGGTATCTATAGCAAAACGGCATGCAATGATTTGTATACTTGGAGTGATCGTGGGAGTTTGAAAAGAAAGGAAACAACCGGAAACTAACACCTCCGGTTTGGTTTTTCTCCGACTATGCTGTTCATTGAACATTTGAAAGAAGCGTTTCATATAGAAAAGTATTCACAATTAGTACTAAAATGTTATGTTCGTCTATATAATTCATAAATTTTGATTTTGCTGTTATATTTAGATCTAACAAACGAGAATAAATTTTGATTAATTTTACTACCTAACCATAATCATTTATTCAGAAAGTAAACTAAATCGTTTACTTAGAAGTCAAAAATGAATATTTCTCACTTGCATTCTTCAAGATACTATTCAAAACAAAACTTCAGGCTAAATTAATCATTATTTCAGTCTATCAACTGACCTATTTTATGTATTAAAAAATTCAGAAAGTTAATTTATTTTGATAGATAACAGAATTAAAACATATAGTTCTATTCAAGATTTTCTCAAACATTAAATTGAACATATAAATAAATTTCATTTTAAATGAACTACTTTATACATACATATTCACTCTTAAATTCATTTTAATTGAAGTTCAACATAAGGGAACGACATCTATGATTGAGTTCTCCATTTGAATATCAATAAGTGTTTATTTAATCGATGATGGTAGCTGCGGTTGCGTATCTGTACATCTGTCGCTCATTCTACATCATTATTTGTTTGATCAAGTGTTTATTCTCAATATGAGCTCATTTCCAATAGCTGAACAAGAAGAAACTTTATTTCTTCTTGATGAACAACCACCACCAAATTTACAAAAATCCGAAAGTTTTGATGATGATAATAAAAATCAGAGTTTAAAATCACTACAACGTATTTTATCAGCATCATCATCATTGGCAGCAATAAATCAACCACAACCATATAGATCATTATCAGCTCATGATTTAACTCCACAATTACATACAAATGATTATGGTTTACCACCAACAAATCCATTGCGACGTTCAACAACAACAACAGCACGTAATAATATAAATGATATTGACACATTTGTACGTCAATTTGAAATACGTCTTCGTGAACATCGTTTTATTTGGCAAAAAGAATATGATACAACAGTTCAACGATTAAATGAAGCAAAAAATAATGAATTAGAATCATTAAAAAATCGTTATGAAACAAAATTACATACATTAGAGGATGGTAATAAGCAATTAGAAATAATTTTAGAAAAACTTAATGAAGAAAATCAACGATTAAAATTTGACATTGAACATCAAAAACAACAGACGAAAACTGAACAAGTAATATATTTTTTTCTTGTTCTAAAATTATTTCTCTATGAATTTTGTTTTTGTTCTTAGATAACTATTCAAGAACATTTAAAAGAAATACAAAATGAAATGGAACGAAAACTTCATGAAATAAAAACGTTTTATGAGAATGAAAAACAAGAAATAAAACGACAACATTCACGAACATATCAAGATTTATTAGATGAAACAAATCAAGTAAAAAAATTAATAAATTTTTTTTTTCTATGCTTAATAATATAAAATTTTTTTTTAGCGTTTAAAAAAAATGGAAAATGATTATAAATCTCAACAATCAACACATGATTCAACAATAAATGACATGGAAAAACGTATGGTTGATTTACGTTCAAATGTTGATCGTCTTCAACAAATGAAACAAAAACTTGATGAAGAAAAAATTTCATTAGTTAAAAATAATGAACAATTACAATTACAGGTAAACATTATGTGTCTATAGAAATTCTAAGTCTCATAATGAAAATTATTAACAATAGTGAAGTGTTTGATTTAAGCTTACAGTATAATAACGTTACGAAGGAATGTTTTGAATTGATCAATCAATTTTCAATTTGGGCTCAGGGCATAAAATAGAGCTCAGTGAGTTATAAGTCGATTTAGACTTTCTGTCCAGAGTTATAAGCATTTTACTGAAATTTTAACTTCTGACTTGGTATTTTTCTAGAAATCAAATGATGGTATTTCAACCTGAAATTTCGCTCATGCACTAGTCTGTTTGTCAGTATAATGCCCTGAAAACTTCAGGTCAAAACAATACTTCCTTCCCGCGATATGAAAAGTACGAAAAAAAAATAGCAAATTCTAGCATCTTTTATGACAAATGAGTGATTTTTGGGACTTTACTACCTCAGGAAGGAGACATTTTTTTAGCTGAAATTATCAGGATATTCTACTAACAAATAGATCTGCCTGTCGAAAAAATCTCAAGTCAAAATATCATCATTCGATTTGTTCGTACATATTCAAGTTAAAGGCTAAAATTCTAGTAAAATGTCTATAACTCGAGATAAACGGTCTAGATGAACTTATTCTTTTGAAGTTTTTTTTATATGTCACTAGAATCAATCTTATGAACAGAGTTCGACTCCAAAAGTAATTGATTAGTTGAAAATGTTCTCTCGTTAGTTTTTTTCGTTTTCAACATAAGACATTCTATTGTCAAGAAAACTGCAAGACCTTGCATTAAAACGTTGTTATTTAGGATAAAATAGTTCTATGAACTATTTATTAACTGATCAATTACATATAATATTGAGAAGTTATCATTATGTAACAATGAAACTTGACCTTCTTTTCAGGAAATGTGATCTGACTCAAGCAAAGGATAGGGCAATAGGACGCCTCACGCTTATTAATATGATGATGAGTTTTTTTTATATCTCATATGAAAGTATCTTTATCTTATGTACATCATTTCTACTCGATTAAGATTATAGTAGATGCTTTTTCGAATAGTTATCAATAGATTTCGATTCTTAGTATATGAAGATAATAAACAAAATATCCGCTTGTCTGAGGATAAGCATGAATACTATTTCAATTAGGTTTGCTTCAACTAAGAGAGACGTCTTCCTTTGACTCGTACACGCTGAATAAAACATTACTTACTACGAATTTATTTCAGACACGAATTTCTCTTCTTTTTTTTTTTGATCTTAATAAAATTTCTACAGAAGTAGTCAATAAATAAAAGATAATATGTTATTTATAAAACTTCACATCTAATCGATGCACTTCAGTTATTGACTATGACAGCTACCATATAAGTATTAAAAGCTCGAAATTTCTCTATATACAAGCTTCGTTTTTGTTTATTATTATAAACAATCACTATTTGACTAAGTAGTTGACATGTTATGTAACTGATGATGCAAAAGTTTTGTTTTAATTTTTTTTGTCCAGTATATCTTGATAACAATTCATTGTGGAGATTCGATAGTTTTCTTATTAGAAACATCAAAGTCTCTACTATGAAGATGTATAAAAGTATTTCATTCAAAATACTTATTGACAACTGGAAAGGTCTTTGCAACTTCACACAATATCAGTGATGAAAGAAGTACATTTGATCGACTGGTCTTGCAATTAGCATTCAAAATTTTTTGATATGTAATGTGTGCGAACATAATTCATGCGACCCAAAATTTCTAGTGGTATCAAAATATTCGAGTTAGAAAACTGCAGATTCCATAGAAAATAGTTTTATTGAAAACTCGATTTTTCCTCTACAAGGCGCAATGCAGTTTTTCTCAGAATGTCTAACATTTTGTTTTATATAATGTGCTTGTGTTGAGTACTCATTAGAATTCATTCAGTCTAGATTTGAAACTTTTGGATTCGATAGGTTCTAGAGTAGTCGGAGAAATGTATAGGGTGTGCTACGACACCGAATAAAAAAATCTGGAAAAAAATTATCTCATATTTTCTGGGCGACTATTCTATTCCAATGAGGAAATTTCATTGAGCATATCAAAGTACGACTCGATCGGGTTCGAAAATTATGAAAACGTGGGACGCTAGGATTCACTAAACTCTAATTGGACATCAAATATATAGGATTTGACGACCTTCGATTACTTGAAAAATTTCGATTTCAAACTCAAATGATAACTTGAAAATTTTATTTTTCCCTGTTTACAATGTTCTATCATAGCGCTGCAAAACCTAATAAAAGACCTAAAATAAGGCTAAGTTTCTTACGAAGGAACTACCCGAATTGATACCCACCGTTTGAGCTCATATTGCATTCATAAGGAAGTCTAAGTAAGACTAAAAAATCCTAAAATGGTTCGTACCTATGAATCTTTGAAGCCGAGTTATGACTGTGTTACGGAATTTTCGAAAAACCAAATAATGGTACTTCGATCTAAAATTTCGTTCATAAGCAGACTGAATGACTAGTAGAATATCTCGAAAGTTTCAGTCGAAAAGAAAGTTCCTGTGTCAAGATATTGAGTTTTCAAAAACTGATCATTTGCCACGAAAATCGAATTTTCTTGACAATTCAATATCTCGATTAAGGAACATTCTTTTCCGCTGAAACTTTCAGGATATTCTACTAGTCATTCAACCTGCTTATGAACGAAATTTCAGATCGAATTACCATTATTTAATTTTTCGGGAAATAGGCACGAATCCTTTCAGGGATTTCCTAGTCTGACCAAGACTTTCTTGTGAATTCAATATGAACTGAAACAATGAGTATCAGTTCCATTAGTTCCCTCGTTAGTGGATGAAGGTTTCTTTCTAAATTCTAGAAGTATATTCTTGAAACGTTTCAATCTTCACTAAATATTTCGAACAAAATATTTTTATACAGCAACTTTACTATTGCTAATAAGAAAACTATCGAGGTTTGACGACGAGTTGTTGTCACCCTATGCTGAAAACAAAACTCCAGGCAGAACTTTTACATCATCCGTTAATTTCGTTTATTTTTAATTTATTAGTTTTTTAATAGTGATTGTAACGATGATGGATTTTGAATTCAAATAGAAAAAGAAAATTTTTTGTTTTTATATTTAGATTCAAGAATTAACAAATAAATTACGTCATGCAGATCGTGATCATGCTGATCAAGTTCAACGTTATGAAAATGAATTAAAATCTCTTCGTCTTCGTAGTGAATCAGGTGTTGATTTATTACGTAAAGAAAATGATATAACAAAAAGTAAAGCAACAAAAACAATCGATGAATTAGAAAAACAATTATCAACAATAACAGAAAAATTCTATGATATGCAAAAATTATTTGAACAAAAATTAAATGAACAACAAACAAACTATCAAAATAATATTCATCAATGTGAAAATGATTATGAAAAAAAATTACAATTATTAAAACAAGAAATCAAACAATTAAATGAAAAATTTCATTTAGCTATACAACAAAATGAACAATTACAAAATGAATTAAAACAAAAGCATCAAGAACTTAAACAATTAAATGAAACATGTTTACAACAAAAAGATTTAATTGAAAAAAGTGAAAAAGCTTTTGCACAAATTAAAATTGACCTAGAAAAAAAATTTCATGAAAAAGTAATTTTTATGTCCTAGAAAGCGTTAAGAAAAGGTTTTTCTCATCATATATCAATATTATCACTTTGAAAACAACAAGAACAATTAAAGTTTCACTAAGTAAATATCAAATCAGGATTAAATGAGTAATACTGAGATATTTTCAATATTAATCATCAGATGTAATAAAATGATTCATTGACTAAATATTGACAATTCCAAAAGTGTTTCTATGAATTAACTGAAGTTCCTTTTTTTTGCTAACTTGCGGAAAATGTCAATATGACTAAGAGCTTCTCATGTTGACAGTCAACAATCATATAGTAATAGAATTGTACCATTTTTATCTTCTAAAATCTAACGTTTGAAATCGAATCTAATTTTGATTGAAATTTATTTGTTAAGTTTAATGAATACCTTTCATAAAAGATATAACTCTCAATGAAAAAGTGTTTCTCTCAGCTCGGGAACCATCTATTGCTCATATCTATCTTATACACTTACGATCACTACTGAAAGAGAATGGTATTATCATTCAATGTATATTTTCTTCTTCAGTAGAATTAAAATATATAGATTCTTATCAAATTTACTTTTCAACAAACTCAAATCTACTTTCCTCTTTGTTCAACGTTTCTTCTTCTATCACTAATAGATCATTTTTCTTTTCTCGATATAGATTATATATTGTACTAAAATTTTGCTTTTTGTTTCTAATTAGATTCAAGAAATAAATGATAAAGCGCGTCAAAATGAACAACAATTAATCGAAAATTTAAATCGTGATCATGCAAAAGTTTGTGACAAACTTAAACTTGAATACGAACAAGTCAAAGAACAGTACGTTTAAATATTTAAATTCTATATAAGAAAAAAACGTTTAAATATTTAATTACTATTTAATAGAAATGAAGAAAAATTACGAACAAATTTTAATAAAGAAATTGAAGATATTAAACATAAATATGAACAAGCTACTGAAAAACAAGAACAAAAAATGAAATATGAGTTACAACAAATTGATAAATTATCTGTTGAAAAAAAACTTGCACATGAAAATGAAAAACAAAAGGTTTGTTTATGCGAAATCATTCAATAGTCATCGTTATTTTTTTTTTCCTTTCATTATATGCGAGTTCATTTCCTCTTCATATATATATATATATATATATATTTATATAGCAACTTCTAAATATTATTAATTATTTTATTTCCGATTTCCTTGATGATCTTCCACTTGAGTAAAACTTACATATGATTAGTTTTTCTCGAATAGCTCATCAATGAATATGAACAATTTATTCGAAAGATTGAAAAACAACATAATCAAAAAACTGATGAATATGAAAAACGTATTGAAGTATTAATTTCAAAGACTCATGAGCAATTAAAATCAATTGAAGGTTTGTTAGTAAATACTTTTGTTAAGGATGAAAAAAAAAATTTTCTTTTTCTATTAAAATATTATTTCAAGATGAATTTTCAGAACGTAATTCTAAACAACAATCTATTATAAATGATCAACAAAAAATGATTCAAGTATTTAAAGATGAACAAAATAAAGCAAAAGCAAATTATGAAAAACAAAGTATTGCATTAAATGAACAATGTCTTCGTGAAAAAAATGAAATAAAAGCTGTATGTTTTTTTTTGCTTTTTATTTAATATTTAAAATTCATATTTCTTATCGTTTTAAAGCAATTTGATTTATGTATGAAAAATCTTGAAAAAAATTTCAATACATTAACATTAAAAAAAGAACAACTTGAACGTAAATTATCATATTTAAATGATCAACATAAGCATGAATTACTTGAATGTCGTTTAACATATGAAAATAATTTGAAAGGTTTATTATCAAATGATGTTCGAGTTGATTTAGAAAATACAATACATTCATTAAAACAACAAGTCGTTTATTTACAACAACGTATTGCTTTTCTTCAACAAGAACTCGAACAATATATACAACTTTATGGTCATAGACCATTGGCACAATCATTAGTTAAAGCAACAAATCTGGAGTAAATCTCAATAAATATGTTTATGTGTGATATTATGCAGTTTGTAGTTTTTTTTCTAATATTTGACACTTTTTTTTTTTTTTTACCGATCTCATTTTTCTTTCTGTTTTGTCTTCTCAATGTAAAATGCCACTTGAATGCCATATGCTAGCTATTACTATATAGAAAAAAAAGTATTTCTTATTTCCGTCCATGTTGTGTTTTCATTTTTTTTTTTTTTTTGATATCTCATTGTATGTTTGCATGTTTGAAGAGAATTCAATAAACCAGTAGTTTTAATTACTTTTCTCGTTTTATTTTCTACTAAGAAGTTAAAGCAATTCAGAAAAAGAGATCTTAACAAAATCGAATGTGATTGGTGTATTGAGTTTTTTTTGTAATCACATACCTATTGACATACAATTTTTATTGACGGAGTCGTCTCTTTTCTTTTCTTTCATTCTTTGCACTTTTTTCTCACTGCGTCAAACGTGTGTGTGTGTGTATGTACGCGCCTCCGTCGTTCTAATATACATGTAGTGTCCCTAACGACGATACACAACATTACTCACTATTCTTTACCGAGAAACTCAGTATTAAGGTGAAAAATATGTATTAATGTATGCGTCTGTGTATAGTTGTTCGTTTCACATGACTGAAACTTTAAATGAAGTGAAAAGAAAAACCGCGGACTATAGTCTCATATACAAAAATTTTTTGTTCTTTTCATGCAGATAAATACGTTGATGATGTATATATTACATACACAGTTTGTTTTTATTTTATTTATCTAGATAAATTATTTTACTAATGGAAACTGTGCAATCATTATATAAAAATCAATTTTTACGTGAATATTTTAATTCAAGTCATTTATATGTAAGACCATGGATACATGATCCAAATGGTTTATCTCATCCATTTGTATTCGAATTCGAATTAAAATTTTTTGATAAAACTTATGCTCATAATATTTATGCATGGATGAATAAATGGTGGTGGTTAAGTATTGTTTATTCGATAATATACGTTATTTTAATTTATTATGGTCGATCATTAATGGAATCTCGTGAACGTTATCAAGTACGTTTACCATTAATAGTATGGAATGTAGGTTTAGCTGCATTTAGTATATTTGGTATGGTACGTTGTCTACCTGAAATGTTATATAGTTTAAGTACACGAGGTTTGGAATATACAATATGTGATCGAAGTAATATATATGGTATAACTGGTTATTGGTTCGTAGAAACAGAAAAACAATAAGAGAATTTCAGTTTTTGTTATTATTTGTTTTTTATTATTTAGGATAACAATATTTTGTATATCAAAAGTTCCAGAACTTATTGATACATTATTTATTGTATTAAGAAAACAAAAATTAATATTTCTTCATTGGTTTCATCATGCTACTGTTTTAGTTTATGCTTGGTACAGGTATGAAGAAAAAAAAAAACAATGCTTTTATTCAATTAGATATAATATTATATATATTTAATAGCTATCATGATTGGACAGCCAGTGGACGATGGTTCGTATTTATGAATTATACAGTTCATGGTAAGTTTAAAAAACAAACGAAATAGAAGATGTCGGAAATCGAAAATTTTATCACATTTTTCTTTTCAATTTATTTGGTGTCTCTTGATAAGGTACATCAAGTTACCTATGAAAAAATAATTTTCTGATTTTTGAAAAAATATTCTAAATATCATGACTTGAGTCATACGTTATTATAGATATGTCATCTTGACTCTGTAGAGCATTATTAGAGGTATTTCCGTGATTCGGTAGATAAAACTTACCCAAAAAAAACCTTATGCATATAAGGGTTTTTTCGGTCAACTTTGCCATCATGATATTTAGCATTTAGTAGTTTTTCATAGATAATTCGATATACTCTATCGAAAGAACCTAAATAAATTGAAAACAAAAATTTACTAAAATTTTGAATTTCGACTACATTAATTTATCTGTAAATCCGTTTTGTGTTAAGCAATGATGTATTCATATTACGCTTTTCGTGCAATGCAATATCGTATACCTAAATGGGTACAAGTAACAGTCACAGCATTTCAATTATCACAAATGGGTGTTGGTTGTTTTGTTAACTATAAAGCTTATTTTTATAAACAAGCAGGAATATCATGTCATGTTGCTTATGGAAATATATTTTGGTCATTTGTCATGTATGCTGCTTATTTTGGTTTATTTCTTCATTTCTTTTTCGTAAATTATTTATTAAAAAAGCCAACTACAAACGTAAAAATTGACGAACAAAAAAAGAACAAATAAATATTTGGTATTTTTTTTAACTTCTTTTTTTAATTTTTATCATTATATAGTTCAATTTGTTTTTTTTTTTTTTTTTTCTTATTGTTGTATTGTTGTTAACTATAAACATAAGAAGGTTTATGTTCTCATTTATTAAGCAATCTCAGGATCGGTCGATAAAAAGCATCTGATCGTGTACCTGGTTATATTTCTATTCTCATACATTTTGTTTTGTTTTTCCTTGCTTTTTATGTGTCAATGTGGTTTTTTTTTGTTTATCTTATCTCATAAACAAATACTGGACTTCTGAGTCATAAAAAATGGATATTTTATTTTAGCAATAGACGTGGAACATATGTCAATATGTATTGTTTGTTTTTGTTTATGATAATGATGTCATGTTGTTGTTTTTTGTTAATGGTTCTTTTAAAGAAAAACGAATCTGTCTTAATAATGACATATAAAAAAAAATGATCTAATTCCTATGAGAATTGAACATATGACCTTCATGTTATCTGCTGAAATTATTTGTATAGAAGGTAATAAAGAACATGAGATAGATCATGCAATGGGAAATAAATGAGCGTTATGATTTTGTCATTGATGAATGATGTAGCGTGGAGACCAAGGAAACGTCACTCTTTAGAATATTGCGTTGGTGCTTCCGGATTTTCCGATTATTTTACTATGTGCATGTGCTGCTGAAAATAAATTTTCTTTCTTACGCAGTTGTAAATCATCGTTCTGAAAGAGACAATCGGAATTAAACACTGGAATAATCTCAATGATGCTCTATCAATTGAGCGAAAGAACTTACGGTATTTAATATGAAACACATTAATCAAATATATTGATAATCACTATTAAATAGTTTGATTCTTATTGAAATTGATAAAGATGAAATATGAGAGCTTATCTAGAGAAATTTTGCTCTTCAATGATTAAAAAAAGAATCATTCTAGTCTGTTGATCGATAGACTTTAGTCTTAAATGTTAAATATGCATTTGATCGAGACACTTGATTTCAATTCTTTAATGCTTTTAACATTTAACCTTTCAATGACAACTATAATTACACGAAATATCAATCAAATACATAAGTAATGGATACTGACATTTATACTTAAACGATGTCATTAGATGTTTTTCTTCTTTCTTTATTGTTAACTTATAGTAGAATCATTTTCTTCAAAGAATATTTTATGTAACCTTATAACTATATTTTTTTTTTCGATTTAATCTTACAAAATAGACCAATAGCTTTCATAATAATTACACAAATGTTGTTCTGCAGTTGCGATGAATTATTTTATATATTCGCATTGGTATATTAAAAAACGCATACTTAACGCAATATAAGTACATGTTCGTCGATGAAAAGAGGACTCCTATGGTATTCTATATATTTATGAAATATACTTGTCGTCAGATGCACTACGTGAAATAGACATATGAGAAATGAAATAGATTCTTGAAAATGTTTAATTTTTTATTCAATAGACACTGTAGTAATCTTTAATAGTTTATACATGATAATCAAACATTTTTTGATTGAATTGTTTTTGATTTTTGCATTGTACATTTACATTTTAATTTAAAAAATTTAGCATAAATACGCAGAAAATGTTGAAAAACAGAAAAAAAGAAAAATACAGAAATTGAACACATCGAAAAGTCAAATGTGAAAAATGAAACTTTTCAAATAAATCTTAATTTCGTTTTTTATAGGATATGGTCGTTAGTTTTAGTGTGAGTATAAGTCTTTTCTTGACTCATACACATACACCACACTTGTCATTAACATTTAGCTTTCATCTACTTTTTTCATTTCACTGCTTTTATCGTCTACATTTTCCATTTTGGCATTTTCTTTCTTTCTTTCGATATTTTTCTTTTCTGTCAATCCAATTGAATCACGACAGAGCTTAATAAATAGTTTTAAAACTTCTTTTGCCAAGATTTCACAAAAATAGAACTAAAATGGCAACTGGACACAATAATTTATAGGTCTTATAAGGTATTTTTTTTAATGATGCCATTTGAAAGAGTGCAAAATGAGGGGTTGCTGCATTTTATAAGATCTTTCCTAAAAAAGTTAAAAGTATCACAAAAACCGAAAAAAGACGTTTGTTAGCTGGTTTTTTGATAGCCTTCATTTTTTTGTGATACTTTTAACTTTTAAGGTAAGGTCGTAGAACATGCAACGAACCCTTATTTTGTGTTCATTCATATAGCATTGTTAAACAATACTTTCTGGAATCTATAAACTACCGTGCTCACTTGCCATTATAGTTCATCTATGAAATCTTGGTAAAAGAAGACTTTATTGGCTATTAAAATCACTATCTGGATTTTAACGAATTGCTTAATATTGTAGCAAAAAAAATACATATGGCTGGTAAGCTTTTTCTACCACTTTCTATCAATTTCTGAAAAATATTTTTTTCTATGTCGCAGAAAATTCTATGACATATCTTTTCTCATATATTTGCTAACAATTAATTGCATGTTTACCAATTCAGTATGTTCATCTTGAAGAGTGTGCGCAAACGTTATTATGTGAGATAAAGCATATAATAAAAATTATAGAAAGTTCATAGTTTTTTTTTTTTTTCAACAGACTTTTAGAACACGTTCTATAAATTTTTAAATAATCGTTAATTGAAGAAGACAAAAAAAAATTTTTTTTTTTTTGATTAATTTATTAGTTCACAAAATAACTAAAATTTCCAATAGAAGTGGATGTATGACATGTTTGAAAAGAACTATAGAACCGGCAATAAATAAAAGCAAAGCAAACATTAAATATAAAACATAAATCAATCATCTATCCAGAAGAAGCAAATCAATGAACGAGAATTCATCATTAAAACATGAAAATAAAAACAACCAGACAAAAAAAAGAAAACAATAAACAATTAGAAATCAAAGTAATATGCACAAATAAATTATTTTCCTGATCGTTTATGTTGTTGTGGTTGTAAAATAAAAAGTTTTAAACTATTACTTACAAATTTTTTAATTCCACCTGTTTGTGTTGAAGGATTAGTTGATATTGGTTCTTTTGGCCATGTTAATTCTTCTTCATCATCATCTTTTTGTTGATCATTAATTATTGTTTGTGCTGAAGCATGATGTACATCCGTTGTTCGAGTATTAACATGAGAATAATCCGATAATAAATTTGTTTTTTTTTCATATACTTTTGCTAAAGCTCGAACATTTGTTTGTCGATATTCTTGATTATTTTCATCTAATGTTAATGTATCATCATTATTATTTTTTAAATTTAATTTTTCTTGTTCATTATGTTGTATAGCTAACATTAAATCATTTTCACTTCGATACATTTTCTTTTGAAAATATTTATGTTTTACTCGTTGAAATTTATGTATATGTGGAGATGAATTTACTGTAATAGTAGGATTTTGACTAGCTATTAATATATTTGATGCTGATTTTGGTCGACGATCATCATCATGTATTAAACGATCATGTGAAGTTAATGATAGTGTTGGTTGTTTATTTATTGTTGGTATCATATAAAGACATTCAATAGATTTTCTTGATGATATTGCCGATTTATTTGATGAAGAAGAATCATAAACAATTGCATGATTTTGCCGATGTTGAGAATTTATTGGAAGTGATACAATAGAAGAATTCGATGAAGATGTAGGAAAAGAATCTAAACAATCCTGAGCCATTTGTAATAGAAGACGATCAAGTTCGAATATATGCATATCAATTGTTGTATCTGGCCTAGAAGTTTTTGATGAAAAAAATTAACAGTAGTAAGGAACAAAAAAAAAAGATGGTTAGAGAACGTACACTCTTTGACTTCTTAGAGCATGGGTCATTTTTTCAAAAATTTCTCGACGAATTTCTTTAATCATTGAATTGCGACTTCGGATTAATTCATTTTGGATTTGTTTTTTCGCTGAGATTTCTAAGTTGTCCATTACATGAGTTAAAGAAACTTAAAAATAAAACGAAAGAAGAATTTTAAATTATTTCTTAAACAAAACTAAAGTAATTAAGAGATGTTTTAACAATCGATCGAGCATTTATCAACAGGATCAAGGTAGGATGTGGATGTAAGGTTTAACTCAGAGAAAACCACACCCACATCTTCCGCTATGCTTCCGTCATTTTTTATTTGAGCAAAATCTCGTTTAAATGAGCACATGAAACTCAACAAACATGTTTCGAGTAGGCTTCTGAAAAAATGTTATTTTATTAAACTGACTTTTTTCGTGACGATTCGATCAGTATGAGAAACTAAATCAACTTATGTATATTTTAAATATCTTTGAGATATTTCTTTTTCATCAAAAATATTCATCCCAAGTCCCTCGCAGGATTTAGTCAAAAAATGAAATTCAACAAAAATTTAGTTTGGTAATCGAAAACAAGTTCTGAGATTTTATAATAATAGTAGGACACATAATGGAAGATGATTAAGCAATAAAAAAGAGTATTTTGATAAATTTCATTTTTTCACTAAACTCCGAGAGGGGACCAAGGGTAAGTTTTTTCGATGGAAAAAAATGTCTCAAAGATATATAAAATACACATAAGTTGACTTGGTTTCTCAAGTGTATTCAAAAAATCATATTAATTTGGATAGAATCATAATTTTTCTAAGTATAATTTATTAAATAATACTAAAAAAAAAGTATAAATTTATGTCTTGGGAATGATGCGTTTTCATCTTTTCTGAATTTTTTTCTCAAAACCTTCTAAAGCCCAAGATTTTCTATAAAGTGCGCTTTATTAAAGTTTCATTCCAATTAATTATGGCATTCGAAACCGACTTACATTCGAAAAAAGTCAGTTCAATACGAGAACAATTTTGTCGAAAGACAACACGTGTAACTTCTCTTAAAGTCTATATATCATAAGAAAAATATACCTCTATGATGTACATCAAAAATCATCTTGCATGTTAGCCGTAATAGAGCAATCATTTCAATTGTAAAGATTTCTAAAATGAATACAATCATGTAATTACAATAATATGTAGCATACATTATATGAATTTAAATCTTAATCTCGTATAGCAAATTTTTCTTTTTCGAGCAGATAAATAGCAATGTAATATTTTGTTTTAAACGTCTACCTCACTCTGGATTGAACAAATGATGAAGTTTTTCTTGATATAGAATTGTTACCTCGTAATTTTTCATTAGTTATTATTTTAGAATCAGAATGTGTATCGTTTGCTGATGAGTCGGTCTGAAACGATAAAAGAAAAGATCGATGTTTTTTTTATTTTTGATTCAAAAGAATTGATAAAAATACTTGTGCAGATTCTGCTAAACTAGTTGGTCGTGATATAGCACGTCTTTGAGTTGTTAAACGTTCTTGTGGAAGTTCAAGTTTGATTTCATTCGTAGATCTTGTATGTTGTTTACTCTTATCAATTATTTTCTCTTGTAATGAAGATATAGTTTGTTGAAATTCATTTACTTGTTTAGCATGTAATGTTCGTTCTTGATTCAATCTTTAATAATGAAGAAAATATTTGATGAATATAAACAATCAAATGAGATATTTTCTACTTTCATTATTGAAAATACGTATATGATACAATTCTTAGAAAATTTGTATTTCGAAAAAATGAATTTTGTTTTGGATCTTGGAAACAATACAATTACAATTTTATTTTCATGTTCAGATTGATGATTCTATTTTTAGCAAAAGTCATCTTAAAGAGCAGGAAATCCTGATTACAATGAGAGATCAGCACATTTCCTACGACGTTGTCTCAAATTGTAAAAAAAAAACAAAAAATGGATTTTTAGTATCGATATGATAAATTTTGCTTTGTAGTGCTTATAAATTTCTAAGAGAAGACCGTAGGAAATTCGGAAATCTCTCAATTTATTCAGGATTTAGTCTTCCAGAACCTGAAAACTGCCAGATTTGCTTTTTCAAAAATCTTTCTCTCATAGTCCATCTATGTACGTAAGAAATGCATTTGATAGAAAACTCAAATTGATTATTAAAATCACTGTTTTTATTTGAACTAAATGCTTGGTATTGTAGAAAACCAATCAACAATGCTTTGATCTTAAACTTTTAATTAGTACTGTAAATACGCATGTAATAAGAAGTTTTCTGTTTTCTACATAGTCACGGAATCTATAAGAAGAAATATAATCATGATCATAATTAAGTATGCAAAATAAGGTTTTTCATTTTTGTATTAAGCTGAATAAAGACTAAAAGAAAATTAGTGTCAGAATAATTTATCGCGGGTGTGTCGAACACTCATGATGAATTGTCTGATCACCAGAAAATCGAGCTGTGCGTCAGCATTTCAACTCATTTTTTTTGATCGCCTCTTTCTGTATAAGATTTTCGTTAGAGCTAATCGAATTCGTCTGTAGTTGTTGTCTTCATACATTTATAGGATGCAGTAGAAATAATAAAAGAACTATAGTCTTACGCCTCATTTGATTGTTCAAGTGATTTAACATGGTTTATAATACGTTTTTTCATAATATTTTGTTGATCTTTATTATCATATTGATTAGTATTTGTTTGTTTAACATTTGGTAATTCATTAAAATGATTTCTTTTTAAACGATTTAAATTTGATTTTAATTGTTCAATTGTTTTTTGTGAATCTAATAATTGTTGTTTTAATTGATCACAACGTGTTTCTAAACGTGTTTGTTCACGTTGAAATTCCTTAATAACATTATTGTATCCATCATCTAATTCTTTTTTCATTATTTCCATTTGTTTTTGATGTGAATCTATAAGTTTTGCTTGATGTTGACTTAATTCAACATTTTCACCTTAAGATAAATTTAAAAAAAAAAATAAAAACTAAAATTTATTGTCTTTTTTTTTAATTTTTATTTATTAATCTTACGATATAAACGATCGATTTCTGTTCGATAAACTTTTTTAATTTCTTCTATATCTTGTTGAGAATTATTTATAGCATTAACTGGTGTAATAAGTTTACGTTTATTTTCAATTTCTTTAGTTAATTTTTGTCGTAATTGATTTAATTCATATTGATGTCGTTTAAGATCATTTTCATAACGACGACTATATTCTTGTTCAAGACTTAATTTTATTTTTGAAATTTCTTGTTCTAAATGACAATCAGCTAAATTAAGAGCTTGATTTGCTTGTTGTAAACGTTGTTCAAATTGACTTTTTTCAACATCAAAAGCCATAAGTTTTTCACGATATTCATGTTCAATATTCTATTTTAATAAATAAAAAAATTAATAGATGATTAACTTGATTTGAATTAAGGCGTAGAGGTCGGTATTATTTTTAGCATAAAAGAAGGCTTAAGATTTTTTGGTGAGTACGATCGAGCAATGAGTGAAAATCATAGTCTTGCACAAAATAGACGTTTGAAATCTTTCGAAGGCATGCGCAACTAAAAATATTTGTGACGATTCTACAGATACCGACTTTATGAAAGATATCGAACTACAAACTATTTGTAATGCACTATTGTAATGTGAAGTGCAGTATATTGAAAATAGTTTTTTCATTGCTAAAATTTCCAATATTTAGAAATCTAGCATCTATATTTGAGTTAATAGATGATGTATATACAACACTGATCAAAAAATACAAGACCAACCCATTTTTGTTTTGTTTTCTACAATACTAAGTATTAAACTTAAATTGAAATACTGGGTTGAATAGCCAATGAAGTTTTGTATCAAATGCATTCTATGTCGAAATTTCATAGATGGATTATGAGAGGAAGATTTCTGACAAAGTCAAACGTAGTACTTTTCAGGTGCCCGAAAATTGAATGAAAATTAGAATTAAAGAGTACCATCTTAAATAGAACGAGAACTTGGTTAAAATGAGAAATCGCTGCATTACCTAGGGTTGTTCCTTAAAAAATTATAAGCATCATAAAAAACAAAAAAATGTGTTGTTAGCAATGATATGATAAATTTCGCTTTGTAATGCTTATAACTTTCCTAACAAATACAATAGCTCCTCATTTTATTCAAGATTTTGTGTTCTTTAAGATTGTATCCTTAACAGTCGAATGTTTTTGATAGAGAACTTAATTAGCTGTTTAGATTTGAGTTCAGTTCTTAGTACCATAGACAAAATTATTTTAATTTTACGAAATCATGTTCCTAACGAATGATTGTGCTAATTTATGTTTTAAGAAAATTAAAGGGATTCAAAAAAAAAAAAAAAGAGAAGTCAAAAAATGTGATCTTTCATTGTTTTCATATAGTAAATTAAAATGTTACCTGATTAACAGTTAATCGTGTTTGATTTAATTCTTGTGTTTGTAATTCAATTTGTTTTTGTAAATCATTAATTGTTGTGTTATATTGTATAAATTGTTGTTTATTATCTTGTAAATTTTTTTCACATTCATCTAAATTAGATTTTAATTGATTAAATTCATCTTCTTTAGTTTTTAACATATCTTGTGCTAATTTTAAATCAGTTTTATTTTTATCACGTTGTTGTGTAATTTTTTGTAAATTATTTTCTAATTTTAAACGAAATTCTTCATATTGACTTATTGAATTTTCATAATTATTTATACGTAATTGGAATGATTGAATATCTTGTAAATTATTTTGATTAAAACCAGTTTGTTTTTGAATAGATAATAATTCTTCTTGTTGATGTTGATTTAATTCATTTAATTCTTTTATTTCATTTAATAATTTTTCTTCTTCATGAGAAAAATTTTCTTTTAATTGATTATTTTCTTTGTCAATTTGGTCAATTGAATTTAATAAATTGTGATTTTGATTTTCAAGTATTGAATAATTTTTTAATAATTCTTTTTGTTTTATATTTAAATCATAATAATCATGTTTTAATTGTTCAAATTCTTTTTCAGTATATACTAAACGATTATTTGCATCGTCTAAATAATATATTAAATATATTTATTTAGCATGAATTCACGAAGTCTTTTTTCTTCGAATCTATGCAAGATTCAGTATAATGACGATATTATAAATTATACTAGTTGCGAATATCCTGTCATACTTTATTAGACAGAGAAAAGAATTGACAGAAATTTCAACACTTGTTAATAATCGTACTCAGAGATGGACGTCAGTTCGTTTCTGAAAAAAGTGAATCGATTTTAACTCTAACACGTACTCAATGGATGAACTTTTTCATGTTGAAAGAGCAAAGTCTGAGCTTCAGAAAACTTACGACAAGATTTTTTTTGGAATTTACTTTTTATATGAGGAAAATATTCTTGCAACTTCTGTCCGATTCAAATGTATCTCTCGCCTAAAGACTATTTGTCACTGCAATAGATTACGTTTGAAATTATATGATTATAAAAATTATTGTCCGTTTGAGTTAGCAAAAACCTTGACTGTTTATCTAATAACTTTCGACAGGAACAATATAAAAACGTGGGGTTGTCACCATTCAAAAAAGATGACCTTAAACCGTTCATGTGAACGTCGATACTTGATTGATCAACAACTGATCAATCGATAGAAATAACCCTTTTCTCTCTATCTACACAAGCCTCGGTTTTCTAGCATGTTCTGTTCAAGAGTTGCAAAGTGTTTCCCGAGATTTCTGATGTCAGCAAATTGACTTTAGAACACTCCAAAGAATTCAACAAAGGATTAATTTATCATACTGAGTCGAATAGAGATATTTATTTCTACTAGTTTCAAAGCGACTTGACACCGCTTTTTCTAGCTTCTGAATCTTCGACTTTTATGCTATATAGGGGAGTTTCTTGAAAATTCAAACATTTTGTAGTATTGGTCTGAGACTGCTTTCAAGATGAAAACAAACACCACCATTGGATCCAACATGATAAATTACTCCTGTCTTGAGCTATTTTGCAGTATTCCAAGGTTAGTTTGCCGAAATCAGAGATTTCCGGAAACCCATTGAGACTCTTGAACTGAACATGCGATAAAGTTGAGCTTGGTGTAGATCAAAAGAGAAGAATTTCTCCTATCGATTGGTCATATTTCAAATTAAAATTCAATAGTACACTCCTTGAGAATCTCGTTTTCGAAACTTTTGCTAGAAACATACATCATTGTTCAGTTGTTGACCTATTAAATTGCGATACACATGGATGGCCCGAGGTCTTCTCTGTGCAATAGAGAAAACATCATGTCTCTATGTTATTCCTATCAAAAGTTATTCAAAAAATAGTCATGACCGTCGCTTACGCCAGTAAAAGAATTTTAATCATTCTTTCAAATGGTGCATGATAGATTCTGTTTTAATCCACTGTACGATCGAAGTGCTTTACAAGTTTTTTCTTAATTTCAAAAAATCAGTTATCTGATTTAAGCAATAATCTTTCTATGTATGTCTCAAAACCACATTACTTATTATTAAAAATAATTTGTTATTAAATCATAAAACTTACCATTAGTTCTAAGTATATCAATTTCATTATTTAATTCAATAATTTGTTTTTCATGTTTTATTTTTACAGCTTCCATTTCTTGATAAAATTCTTTTGATTGCTGTTCTAAATCTTGACTATATTTGTTTTTTAAATTTTGATTATCTCGTTCGAGTTTTTCTTGATTATTTTTATGAAATAATAGTTTTTCATTATAGTCTTCTTCAAGTATTCGACGTAAATCATCTAATTTACTTTTTAATTCAAAATCAAATTTTGTTTGTAATCTATCATCCATAGGACTTTTTTCTTCACATAAATCTAAATTAACAAATTAATAAAAACAAAAAAAAAAGACAAGCAAATTTTATTTATTACCGATATAAAATTGTTTGGATTTATCTAATTCAATAACATCTTCACGTAATTGTTCAAGCATTGTTTGTAATTCATGTTTTTCATATTCATATTTTTCTTGTAAATCTGAATAATCTTTTTCTAATGTTTCAACTTGATTTGTTAACTCTTTTATTTTTTCCATATGAATACTTGTAGTTATAACAGTTTCATTCGAACTACTACTACTACTACTATAACTGCGTTTTGATGGAAATTCATAATCTTGAAGTTTACGTTGTAATTCTTCATTTATTTCAATAAAACGTTTTTCATTAGATAGAAATTCGTCGATACGTTCTTTTAAACGAATATTTTCATTTATTAATGACCCATCTAATGGCAATTTTCCATTCCTATCATAGTCACTAATTGGAATACTTTTCATAGAAAATATATCGTTATCAATTTCTTGTTCATTTTCACCAAGATGTTCGCGTAATGTTCGAATTTCCGACTAAATTAAACCACAAAAAGAAAATTAGTTTTTAGAGATATGAAATACTACCCACCCATGTTATTACTACCATGGTAGATTCTTGTTGTCACCGTTATAATCTTTTTCTTTCTCTTTCTGTTATGATAGTTAGATTCAAACCTTTTTTCTTTCTCTTTTGTTATCTTACACTCATAGTGGGACATGAATGTTACAAAGAGACAAAACCTTTATGACAAACAAACATTCGAAGACAGAACGATTGTTTTTTGTTCGATAAATAAAAATGGTAAAAAGGTCAATGAGAAATAAAAATCATTTTAATTTCATAGGAACAATAAAGACCTTTGTTGATCGATAAACAAAGAAAATTCTACTCATTGAATATAAACTCGAATTTAGAGAAAAGATTTGTAGAAATTTTCTATTAGTTTACAAAATTATGATAAGAACTGTTACGATATGATAGCGAAGCTCGTAAATTTATATTTGCAAAAATTGTAATACCAAGCGAAAGCTTTTTTTTACACCTACAATCAGTTCTCTATGTATTTTGTTTTTTTTATCGATCTTAAAATTTACTACAGAGACTTTAAAATACAATAACAAGTGCAACTATTATGATCATTAATAATTTTCAAGTTGTAACTAATTCGAATAATATAACTTAATTTTGATATAAAAATAAATTCTAATTCTTAAAGACTTAACATTTTTTTTTGTGATATTCTTTAAAATAAAGATAACAAAACTTTTGATCTTACGAAAAATATTTGCTTTACATTTATCGAATAAAATATGAATACATCAATATCTATCCATATTTTATTCCAATTACGAAACTATTTAAACATGAATCATTCTAATCATCATTCAGATTTGTAATATTAACTATAAAAGAAATGTACAACGTAAGCTTTGACTAAGAATAAATTTTTTTAATCCTCATCCCATCATATCCTGGATAGTTTTTGTGTTTATCTGATGATTTAGCAGTTCAGGTTTGGTTATCGGTTTCAATTCTTTTGAAATCACCGAACTCTAACCCTTACTCTACTCTACTCTACTCTACAGGGTAGAACGACTCGACACATCTTTAAACAAATTTTCCGTAAGCTTCAGTTCACTTTGAATGAATGGATTAAGCACGTTTCTTTTTTTGTGATAAGAACCTTTACAAAATTTTTTATCGTAAATTCACTGAAGGCTTAATTTACTCATCGTATCTCACAATGGCTGATTAAGACATTTTTTTATATTATTAAAACTGAATTTTGATAAATATACCTGTAATTCTTGACATTTATGTTCGAGTTTTTCTTTATCCTCAGTCATAGTGGTTAATTGCCGTTTAGTTTCTATTTGATTGGATGATTCTAATGAACTTGTGGTTAATAAATCAGAATATTTTCGTTCACAATCATGTAATTGTTCATTTAAATGGTTAATTGTTTCTATTCGTTCAAGTGTAGCCTTAAAATGTATGGAACATTAAATAATTTCTTTTAATGAAAATATATAATAATTGATTTACTTTTTCGTTATTTTTATATGTAATTTCCAATTGAATACGAAGTTCATCGGTTTCAACATTCTAAATTCAAAATAATTGATGTTTTATAACTCATTCTTATTTAAAATAAAACCTTTTCTTGTAAATTCATTTGAATATTCTGTAATTTTTCATTAAGAGATATTATTTCTTGTTCATGTTTTTCACGTGTTGTAGATAAAGCAAGTTCATAATTTTGTTGTGAACGTGCTAATGATTCAAAATGTTCTAATTCATTCACTCTTCGATGAAGACTACCAATCAACGATTCAGAATCAGAGACTTTCTTTTCAAACTATTCAACAAAAAAATATAATTAGATTCAAACAAAGTGAAGCTTGATCAAAAAGAATATTCTATTTCGTAAGTTGATTCACTTACTTTTTCAATAAATTAATAAAGATAGTGGAAATACTAAGAAATGAAAAGATTTAGGAGAGAAATGCAACGGTGAAATTATGATCATGCAATGATTGCTATCCTGAGTTAGAAAAAAAATTTAATGAATTTAAAAAAACTGCCTTTCGTTATTAGTTGATTATCATAGTATTGCCATTAATAGTGACGATTAAAGTTATATGACTATTTGTCACAGAATGAACTGATTTTTTTTGCTTACTGATCTTTATAATGACAGAGCAACCAAAGCATAGAAAGCGAATATTGAAATACAAGATAAAAATTTCATTCTCATATAAACCCAGAATTTTTTGAGTGAATTTTGATTTTAGTATACATGCCTGCTATATTTTGTCTATCGAAGTTAAGCTTCTTTTTATTCATTGATATTTTATTAGGTCAGTTTTGAACTTACAAGAAAATCTTCTGAAATGCTAAAAAGTTTTCGACCCCATTTTTGATATGTTACTTAGAGAAATACTAGACGCCAAAAACCCTAAATTTAGTTGAGATATCCTAAGAGAACCCCAGTTTTTCATTATAAGCGTACTTAAGAGAATTTTGATCAAAAACTCCATACAAACATAGAATTCAATTAGACTAGCTTGCATAAAGAGTATCATTAATTTAGGATGTTGTATTTCTGAGATATAAAGTTTCCAAGCATGGATACTTTTCCATAAAATATGTATTTTCGAAAACTAAATATCTCGTAGCAATGATGTCTAAAATTTATGAAACTTTTTATTCGAACTAGTCTAACTGAAGTTTATGTTCGTACAAAATTTGTCGTCAAAATTCGAAAATATGATTTTCCTAGGAAATTAGGTCTCAGAAAAAATCCACTGAGACTACGATTTCTCAACTAACAAGGAAAACGCTCTAGGTATCAAATCGCGTTTCGACAGAGACGATATACATTTGATGAATACTAGAAAAGTCTAGAATGGTTGGGTTTTCCTGACCTTCTTTCTTGAAATATCGAAATTTTATTGAGTTTTTCAACAATATATTTTGGTCACGTGAAAAATCAACCTTCGACTTTAAACTTTCCATGAACAAAATTCTCAAAATATTTAGCTTATTGAACAAGTTGTATCTCCTATCCTGAGATATTCAATTTTCGAAATTCTTTCATGTTTAAAAGCAAATTTTGTTCATATCTTTGTATCTTGACAAAGGAAATATCAGCTGCACAATAAACTCGTCCCATTAAGAACTTTGTTCATGCGAAGTTTGCCGTTGAAACCGAAAAGTCGGTTTTTCATTTTTACTCACTAGTACTCGTCAAATAAACATCATCTCGGTCGAAAAGCAATTTAATACTTGAAGAGGTTCTCTTGTAAATAGCAACTTACGCCCATGTTTCCTTAAGAATTTCGTATTCTAGTAGTCTTCTAACAATGGAGGTGTTTGTACTGTAACTTAAAACGATGGCACATATTCGGGTCAAATGAAAGCTCTCACCGCCAAACTAACAAGGTTAAAATATTAGCGGCTGTTGGCTTGCCTAGAGG